ACTCAGGACCTTGTTTTTTATACACCTAATAGGGACTATAGACCTCAGTATCTGGTAAAATTCAGAAATAAAAATAGAAGTTTATAAATAATAATATGAGCCTCTTCGCTTTTGACTCCTGAGTTGCAGGCGTTCATGGGCTGCGGTAGACTCTTACCACCAGGTGACCCGTCTGCTCGTTTGCCCCCTATTCCATAGAAAAAAAAGTCTATTAGTTTAATAAGAAAAATATTTTTCGCTTAAAAATGCGCGGGGTGCTAGATGTCAAGTGTTGTAAATACTTATTAATAGGTATTGGTAAAAGTAAAGGCATTATCTTATAAAAATTTTGAACAACAAAAATTAGATATTTTTCTAATTATATTAACGCAGTTGCAGCAGATAAAGTCAAAAGTATTAGCTAATATAATGTTGTTACAAAATTCTTATTACTCTATTTAAGGTAGCGAAAACACTTCAATATCGAGCGACTAAAGAGTCTTTTAGGATGGGACCTTGTCAAAAAAAACTGTGGGAAGCCATGCACATATGGGTCGGCTCAACTGGAGTGATTCCACGTGAGGAACCGGCTATGGTGACCGCGCAGAAAACCGATGTAAAGCAATATTTTCGTTGCATTTCACCGAATGAGTACCAAAACCGCATACCGTCTTTGGTTAGTAGTCGGGGAACCAGGTGTACCCTAGAAAGAAAATCCCGATGTACCTCGGGCCATCTACGGATTAAAGATGAATCCTGTGGTGGAACCCCGATGCACAACTCCCTGGCACTTAAAAAGCCGCCAACGCACTAGTGACACTTGAGTTGCGGGGGCGCTTGCCCCCAAACGATAAACAAAAACTTAATAAAACATCTTCCAAATTGCACTGCGTCTGTTTTTTTAATACCTTACTACCTATTTTAACACCGAAACACACTAACTTCTGGTTCGATAGATTCGATCTTGTTGTAAAGATCTTATGCCGTCAAATATTAATTTATTAATAGTAATTAATTATTTCAAAAATTAGAATATTTACTTGTATTTGATGTTTATGCTGTCCAATTTAACCTAACGGAACACAGACACAATTTAACGGGTTTTCTTTCTTCTTTCGGATGTTTTCTTTCTGATATCCGCTGATATGAGTATGAAATCCTTTACATCACGGATGTGCCACATAATTTATAGATTATAAGACTGATTGTGGCAATTTTGTTGCATAAATTCGATCATGCCACAATGACTGTGTTACTATCTATACAGGGTGGGGTATGCACCCACATTACACATATTGTTGCTCCCTATAGACGTTTCCAAACCTCGTCGTACAAAAAAAGGTTTCAGTATACAGGATATTTTATGGTTCCTGATACATATAACCTTATGAATTATTAAACAATACTAGAACGAAACCTAGATTATTACCATCGTACCAACTCTGTCCAAGAAGTATTAATCATATATTACTAGCATTTTTCAGCGGTTATTTCATTGGGATCAAAGGAATCCATTTGATATGCCGACTATAGTCTACCTGTTTGCTAAATTTCATTCCGATATGTTCGGCCATTCCGATGAGTTCAGACGTGATTAACTCAATCATAAGAACCGAACGGAATAGAACGAATAACAAGGCACTTCCTTCCAAAAAATCTTTCCAAACTTTATCATTAATAATAATAATAGAACATTATGAACTGGTAGTAGTACCTTCCAAATATTATGTATTCTGTAGTAGGTACATAATTGGATCTTTCAACATTTTATAATAGATACGCATACCTAGTTATATAAGTACTTACTAACTAAGATTTTAAAAGGTATCGTTGCACAATATTATAAATGATGTTGTCATTTGTCATGTTGTTTAGCAGGTTGGTTTGAAGATACGAGTGTCTTTAAATTCTTGTACTTGTAACTACAAAAACCGGACTCCCTGAAAATTGTGGGCATACTTAAAATTTACAAACTTAGAAAAAACAATTTATAAACTGAAAAGATATAAATAATATCTTGTGTCTTTTTAGCAGTTCTCGTTTACATTACATTGAAATATCGGCCATATTAATATTTTAAAAATTTTGGTATACCTGAAGGCTGAAGGATAAAAGGTATTTTCGTAGTAAAACAGTAAGTATCACTCAGACTAGCAGATTACCGATTCAATTTTCGGTTAGAATACGATATAATCACATTACAGTCAACGTTGGATGTTTAATACTTTACTACGAAAACACCTTTTATGACAGTTGTGAGATCGAAAGTTGATCGGAACTGAATTGAGACCGAACTTTTATTACAAGAATTGGCCTTCTTGTGTCACTCTCACAATGAAGATGAATTAAGGAATCAAACTACCTCTCAAACCGAAATCAGCCGTTTAGGCTGCAGAGCGCACCAAAGAAATATTATATACATACATGGCGCAGTCGGGAAACGAGTACAGATTATAGTGGGTTTAATTACAAGCCCGTTAGATACTGATTAGTTGTGACGTAAGCATTTAGTCTACTAACGGACAATTGATTGAGGTTCATCATTGATATGCAAGTATGCGACCACTATAATAAATTATTTTAGTAAATACGTTTTTGAGTGTTACTTTCGTATTAAAATTGAAATGTATCTACTCGGCAAAGTTTATCTAAGGAATATTTAAGTATTTGAGTCAGTTTTAATTTTATGAATCACCAGCGAATCACTCATCAGCGCCTGGGAATTTGATCCATATCTATAAAAGAAAAAAGACTGATTGACTGACGGACTGATTCACTGACTGATCGATCAACGTACAGCTGAAACCACTGAGTCTAGAATCATGAAATTTGACTTAATACACACGCTTAATACAATATTTTTTAAATTCCACCCCAAAATTTAATTAAAACTTCGTTAGTTTTGGTAGTAGCGTTTTCAATCTCACAGTAAATACTCTTTATTATAAATCCCTTTAAAAGTAGTTGAACTGACTTCAAAGAAAACGTGAGATGGGTGTTACCCTTTACAGGTTTTATATGGTATTTAGCGGATTTTACGCCGGCCTCCCACATACCCCCGAAATGAGGAGCAAAACAAGGCAAAAAGACGAATTTTATCCCTTCATTATGAGCATATCCAGTGAGAGAAGTTTCATTAACCCTTAAAGAATCTCCTATTTCTCTGGCAGCTGCTCCAAAGTTGCGGCCATTGTCAGAGAATATTTCCGCTGGTTTGCTCTGTCTGGAAACGAATCTACTACTTTAGACAAATCGTTTACTGTCTCAAGGTGCACGCACTTGTACCGAAAGCAAACGTATACACACAAGTAAGTTTTGGTTACTCGAGCACTTCGACCTCCTTTATTGATGGTATAAAATGGTCCAGCGAAGTCTACATGTGCGGAAGGGAAAGTCATCTGTAATCCTTGTGTAGCCCTGCATGCGCCTACATGTGACACAACCATTAACCAGGCCACGGCCCGGCGCACGACGGGCCAGATGTCGACCTTTGATCGGCCAGTATGATACCATACTGACACAGGCCAGTAATAGTTGAGGTCCAACGGTTATGTTATTTTAATGCTGGTTAATAAATAATTATTTTTTAAATGATGAGAGGAATGCAAGAGAATAGAATGATTTTTATTGTAATCGTAGTTGGAACCAGCTGACCACGAACTGTGATAACATTATTATCATCTAAAAATGGCGTTAGCGATAAAATAAGGGACTAGGGCTAAGGGACTTATTCCTTGCCATTAAATTATACTCATGAGCGATTGACTCTTGTTGATTAATGAACTTGGATAGTAATGAAAAAGTCCTACTTTATTGACATGATTGAATTGCCTTAGGGTCAGATAGAGAACTCACACGTACATAGCGAAAGCTTTTCTTATTGAAGAAATACTCGTTACCTGTATTGATCTTATAAGATAATTCATCCCATAATTTAATTACTGACCACTGTAAAAGTAGCCCTAACACATCCACTTAGTATGCAAACAGATATGTATGCAAACAGATATGCAGAACACTAATATGCAGAGATTGGCAAATTACGGTTATGCGAATCATTTCACCCGATTTGATTTCATCAAGTCAGGTGATCCCGGCTACACAATGGCCTTAAATTAGGCCATTTATGTCCAAAGTTATCAAATTTGAATGAAAATCAAGTCAAAAAGGACGTCGAATTGTGTCGTGTGAAAGGTGTTTATGGAATGTTCGTCCAATGACCTTTCCTTTCATTTTGTATCATGCTTTGTGTTTGAAATGCAGTAATTCTTCTCTCATCAGCGTACGTATATATATGTCAGTACTTTTATAACAAATCATTTCATGCAATGTGGCATATGATAATATATAACGTGACCTTTTCTTTTTTTTTCCCTTTTATTTTCTCTAAATTAAAAGATTTAAGAAACATAAATGTATACAACTTGTTCATTAGAGAAAATACTCTTTCTACTGTTACCTTGTGCACAGGCAGACATAAAAGATTAAATATTTACAAATTAGCGACCTGTTGGCCCGCCAATTTTCAATAATCGGCAGATTAATGGGAAAACTGAAAAATTTTGCGTCCCGACGTTTTTCTAGGGGATGCGCACTGGATTGGAAATACGTGACATTGTCACTCAAATAGGGCGTATTTTAACGTTAGGCATATCCATACCTACTAAATGTCTGTGAGGTAATGGATAGGACAACAAAATATTTTCACAGATATCTTTCGAACTAACCAGTTTCTAACTCCCTCTAAAACGAGATAGTATATAATCATTTATACACTCAATTGTAGTGAGCCCAATATAGCACAAAACGAGATAACAACATAATAAGTTGGTGATTGCTTGCTTGTTCACCGCCTACATTGCGGACGGACTCAGACAGGCTCAGTCAATCGCAAACTGCTGAGCGCAGAACGTATTATCATTTTCTTGATAGTAGTGACCCTCAACGGAATAAAGTGAGAAGTGTTATCATTTATTTATTGCGTTATTTCGATACAATAATAAAGCAATTATAAGTATAAGATGGGTTTGCTAAACTTAGAAGACGAAAGCAATGGAGACAACATATTTAAGGAATTAATTTTCTATGTGAATGGAAAGAAGGTACGTTATAAGACTTACACATTTTAAATTTAATCTTTGTAGAGCATTGGATAAAAATGATAGCACAATCAAAAATGCAATTGATTAATTATTTATATTATATACGTAATATTTATAATACACGTAAGTAATACTTCCCTACATGATCGTCCTAATTTAATAGCTCTTGAAAATGTAATGGTAATTTGTAATTTGATATCACACGCCACATCTAAATATTATCTTATATCTAAAAGTAATTTATATCTATAAATATTAACTGTAGCTAAAAAGCAAAAGAAGTTTAAAAGTTAGGTATTTACTTAAAATGTAAGTTGGTGGGTATTCTCGTATCTGTTTAATTAGATATCACAATGGTCAATGTTATATTGTGACATACATGTTACTTCTGGTTTAATCTCTTACGTCTATTATTCATACGTACATTAGTACGTACCCACTTACTTTAGATAATAATATTTTTTTGTTCATTTTGTAGATCATTTTCATGTTGCCTATTTGTATGTTTAATATTGTTATTATCGAAAGTGAATGCCATTCCCAAATCTCGCATAGGGACTTAATCTACAATGGCCCGGGTATCATGAATAACGCATTTTATATGCGCCTATTCCTTACCTACTTTCGTCCTCTTTCTCTTGTACAAGCGTGTTTTATTAAAAATCTTCCTAACTTTATCTGGCTACGAATAAAAGGTTTCTCAGACGACCAATAACTAATTGAGTTAAATTATTTAATGCTTTTTTTATATGTGGTACCTACTCATTTATTTTTTGTGGTATATACTTGAGTATCAATACAGCAGTGAAAGACAGTAAAGGCACTCGAATTCTTTCTTATAAATAATACATACACTACACTATCGTGGTACTAGTTAACTAGTAGTATACAAATATACCTAGGTAGTAGATTATATTATAATTGTTTAACCGTAATTTACCTTTTATATAAGTACAACAGTAAAGAGATGATTATAAAGGTTTGATTGTTGGAAGGCAAATGGGTGACTTTCTGGCTGGTGAGTTCTGCCTTCAGGGCAGGGTTCACGAGGGTCCGGTAACATTTCAGCCGGCCTCATCAATCTAGTACATTGTTCGACCGTGAAACTGTTGTCAGGCTGGTGTGAAAAATATTTAGCGTAGGTGGGATCAGTAAAACTTCTGTTACTTGTAAAACTTTTATATAAACAAATCGCACAAATATCGAACTTATATGTTTGCTCCATAATATTGTAATCTAAAGTTAATGTAGAAAAGAAGGGTAGTTTCCTAATTGTTGCCAAGGTTATCTTTGTCATCTAAATTAATAAAGACTTGAAAATTGGTCAAATTATAATTTTTTTAACAAATTAATATCTGTTCATTAAGCCAGGTTAAAAAAAAACAATTTTAAGTCAATGGTTTTTCAATGGGCGCGTACTGACACTATCGTTTCTTAGCACTTCTCGAATTCTACAAAAATCTAACATTTTTTTCGACTTCATCATCAACAACCTCTAACAGCCCACTACTGGACATATGCCTCTCTTTACAATGGAGGTTTTGGCCTACACCACGCTGGCCAGACGGGTTGGTATAGGGTTTGTTTCAAGTTTTCCTTCTTTTTGTTGTGCTGTTGTTCTGCATAGTTTGCGGCTTTTACGACAACCACGGGATGAATGATACTCTGTTTTCTTAATCCGTCCCCACACGGTCACTTTTCGACTTACTCTAATCAAAACAGACACTGCAAAAACAATACTATTGTATTGACTGTTGTGGTGCATTATAATTTACATAGATAGGTAGCACAGGTTTAACGGGCCTGTTGGTCTTGTGGTTAGTGACCTTGACTGCTAAGCCGCAGGTCGTGGGTTCAATTCCCACCCAGGATAAATATTGTGTAATGAGCACGCTCATTTGTTCTGTGTCTGGTTGCATTTATCTGTAATATGTACGTATTTAAAAATATATAAGTATGTGTATCAGCAGTTTAGTTACCATAGTACAGGATCTGTCTAGTTTGAGATCAGACGGCCGTGTGTGAGATGTGTGAAGTTATTATTATTATTATATCATGAAGCTCCTACACAACAGTGTAACAGTTTGTAAATAGAGCTTAATCGATCGAATAAAATAAAATTAAGGTTTTTATATTGGCGTTAGGTGGTAAAAGATTACGATGGATACGATATATTAAGGCAGTTGTTACAAAAATATAATCATTTATTAAATGTAGTCTCGACGATCGATTTACGGTGGGTAGAATGTAGGTAGGTACAACGCTAGCGCTAATTACGACACTGAAACGGTATAGGTAGGTACGACTCGACCGAATCTATCGTTTAAATTTTCATCACCTTTCACAGAGAATCATATTAGTCATACCAAGTAAAACAAGGTAAGTATTACGAACATATTGTGACCTCAGTGCTCTTTGTTTGATTTTTATTGTAAAGCTTTTTTAAATAATAATGTGTTATGTATCAATTATTTAAAAAATATTATACAGATGGACATTCAATTCTTATTTTTACAGTCCATTGTTATAGTAGAATTGACACATAATTATGTGTCGGACGGATAAAGTACTAACTGGCTGGCTCTATTGCAATAATTTAAGTGTATTAATTAAATGCTGTTCCCAGTTTATGTCATTATGAACATGGAGTTAGAATCAGTTACAGCTTGTATAACAACAACTATGAAATTCTAACTTGGTAGGTACCTACATACATAATTATTAGTTTGCTAGAATTATAAATGTGACCTTTTGTGATATTAAATAAATCTCAACTTCAATCGTAAAATTTATTATAAATAGACAAATTCAAACGGTATAACTATTAAAACCAACCAAAATATAATACGATTTTGATATTATTTTTCTTCTTTGTGTTTTCAATGCATTTTATATTGTGCTTTGTTCTATATTTCAAACTACGTCTTGAAGTTTTTCTCTATTTGGTTGTTTATTTATTGCAGTTTTTATTATGTTTTTCTTTTAATTTATAATTTGTCTTTATTTATTTAACTATACATATATATATAGCAAAAATATATTCAAAAACAGTAATTTTTGTATGAACAAATATGCTCCACGGGTGACAATTGTGACAATCGAAACACCCAGTTTTCACCACCCATGGTTAATTAATTATCAATCATCAAGAAAATAATTATATTTACAAAGGAAGCAAAGCATGATAAAGACATTTATAGAAGATTCTGAAAGGGGAATTAGAACAAAAACTAGTCCTAAGGAAATGAGCTATATTTTTGTAAGATTCCTTAGAAGGCGGACTTCCGGTCCGCCAGGTTTGAGAACGAGAATCATCAGAATAATCAGAATCAGGCGCCGGAGGTAACTGAACAACCTCCGTACTCCTTGGAATGACAATTGAACCCGAAACAACGGTTTTTAGGATTTCTGCACGAAAAGAAAAAAGAAAAATGAATTTGTCACTGTGGCCGTGCTGTGCGCAAGGCGCTATTCTTCGAGAATAGCACTGCTGTTGAGTACCAAGGACCTTGATCGAGTTGTTGAAATACTAACCATAAACATGTTGATGATGATGTTGAAATAACACAAACTGTCAAGTAGGCTGTCAAATAATTTACTGTTCATTGTAACTAAAATATATGTTCAATTGAATGTGTAGCTACAGCATCCGTCGAGCCGTTTCTCAATTTTCTCAATTTGCGAAGTCAAGTATCAAAAACCGCAACGTAACAACCCATATACGAGTAGATATCAGTCTCAAAGACGTCATATGAGTTTTATTATAACAGAGTATATTGCGTCATGCCAGTATCAACCTTGTTTATCTGTTTGGAGTATCGTGGCTGAATGTCCCTGATAGATCTGACCTACAGCACCCACCACAACAGAAATCTTATCAATTATACCAAGATTATGTACTTGTTTTATACAAAAACATTATCCCCTGTCACCACACCACTTGTGTTAGTGCAGGATATGCACTATACACGAGAATTACTAATTGCGTTTTCCTCATATACAAAAATGTTTGATGTACCTAAAATATAAAAAATAAATATTACTATTATCTTTTTATAATTTTTATTTTAACCTAGTATTTAAAATACAACATCTTGAAAAACAGTAGTAAATCTAACATAAAACTTAAACGAACAGTAATGGTAATAACGTACTTGCCTTCAGAGCAACTAAAGAAAAAGCGAGGTTCTGAACTAAATTTACTTGTAACTGAACAGTTGGATAAGCAATGAGAAATTGGTCATTTATTTAAGATCAACTTTGTATGGATGAACATAACTAATGTTAACAGACGTTCAATAAATATTCGCACAAAAGTCATGTCACTGGCAAACTGTATTCCGTGGATTTACCACAGAAAGTCGTACAGGTATCACAGAAGTGCAGTTTACTTAAACATCAAGCAGATGTTATAATGGTTACGATTACAGTATATAAGATTGTATATTAGGTATAATAGAAACGTTCTTATCATAAACAAATTGATTGTTTTAAAGAGAAGTAATAACTAGATTATACGTTAGTAGGTACCTACAAAAATCGGTCTTATCATTGACATAAATGTCTCATATTTTAACTGAATAACAAACGCACTGAATTACAAGGAATTACTAAATTTAACTAATACGCGTGTTTTTTAAAATTGTAAGTAGTTACCGGTGCTAATAAAGAATCGCAACTCCTGTGGTACAACTTGAGCGTTCTTAACCCTATCATTGCACCCCACATTCAAAGGTATTTCTATGGTTTTTGACTACAAGCCATTTCTCGTAGTAAAAGTTCGGCTTGAATTCAGTTCCGATCAACTCTCGATCTCACAACTGTTATAAGGGTATTTTCGTACTACTATACGTATTAAAGATCCAACGTTGACTGTAAAGTGATTACATTGTATTGTAACCGAAATTAATCGGTTATCTGCTAATCTTAGTAATACAAATACTGTACTATTTTGCTACGAAAATACCTTTTACCACAGTTGCGAGATCGATCTGCTGAATTGTGACCGAACGTTTGTTACGAGAATTGGCCCTCTGATCAAATGAATACTGTTTGTTTATGTTTGTTATGTTTAGTTAAGTTCTTAGTACTTATTTTAATAATCATTACGATCATTAGATGAGTAATACATATAACAAGTAGGTAGACAATTTATACAAATGTCTTCCTTGGTTGTGATTATGTTTATATTCATAGTCATTTCAACTCGACCAGTACCAACGAACCGACACGACGCGGCGAAGAATCGACGAACAAGAAGCCTCTTGTAAAATCCTTTATTGATTAAACTGACCTTAACACATATCTTTTTTTTTTTTACTGTTCAGTATTTGGCCTCAATAAATTTACAGGGAACCTTTAATTTTTACGTGTTGAGACCTCCTCGGGCCGTCACCCCACCGGGGTTTGCGGCGGGGTGGCAACCTTAGTCCAACCCCCTGACAGCTGACAGTTGTTACGTAGCCTACAAGGTAACACAATATTATCAGAAATTACGATTCGATGGCGTTAGCCATATGTAGACATATTTCTGTAGTACTGTGTTGACTCCCATCAATATTCGGTAAATATCGAACTATTTGATTTGCAGTTTTATTCATTAATTTGGTTCCAAAGATGTCTGTTAAGACAGCGCAACGCAAGGTTAGCTGTTATCGCACTTCGGCATGACAATTGATAGATATGAAAAGCAAATAATAAGACTAACACCGTTTTATCAACGCATAAAGGAAAGTAGTTCATTAAAAAGTAAGTTGTTTGTAATTGTTTTCAGGTAATAGAACCAAACCCTGATCCAGAATGGACTCTACTGTGGTATCTTCGAAAGAAACTTCGTCTCACAGGTACTAAGCTCGGTTGTGCCGAAGGAGGCTGCGGTGCCTGCACTGTTATGATATCTAAATACAACCGAAAGGAGAAAACAGTAAAGTATCCTTTAAAAATATCTATTAATGTATTCGAGTTTCAAGAATACGAACGACAGAGGCGCAACTTTGAATACTAAATATGTTTTTTTTTTTAAACCCACTAAAATACATTTTTACGTTAAATGTTGCCAAGACAAGACCATAATGGCTCGCACTGGCAAAAAAATTATCAGATCTCATGTAAAACCAAGCTTCTAACCCTAGACGCCCTAACTCTGCAAGCCTTAAGCTCTCCACCGTAGTCAATGTGCTTGGGAGCATGAAAAGGTTTTTGTTGTACATAGGTCGATAAAATTTTACAGACACGTGTTTGGATACGTGGCAAATTGACGTGTCATGTCAATTCTGTCAGTGTTTTAATAGAATGAAACATTGAAAATGTTAACTAGGTTCATGTGTTTATCAAATTTTAATTGGTTTTTATTTAATTTTATAACTTATTATTTAACTTTTTTTTATGCTATGTTTTATGCAATAAATAATGCCGTTTTTTACACATGTTGCAATTGTATAAAAAAGTACTAGTGAGTAGTATTCACAATTATTAAAGACCTACGGTTTCACTCATCTGTCTCTCGGACCCTTTATCAAGGCTTTCATCCCGAGGAAGGTGGTTTTATCCCTTGAGAAAGGGTCCAACGTGATTACTCTTGCAATGTTAGGGTGTGAAATTAGCCGGACCTTCCCTAAAAGCACACGTTAGTAAAACCGTGTCTCAGTTACAAATAAAACCTGTATTAAATTTAAGAGAGCAAGAACCAAAGCGAAGCAGGCAAATGGTTAACTTTAACTTAACCGCGGCCATAAAAGCTTTTCTGTTCTACGAGTACGATGATAAATATTTTATTACTCTCGTTAGTGTTAAATTTCCCTAACGTAAACATTCAGCCATTTTGCAGTAAATGCATGTTTAGCGCCAGTATGTGCCATGCATGGTTCGGCAGTAACTACAATCGAAGGCATCGGATCGACAAAAACTAGATTGCATCCAGTACAAGAACGGATAGCCAAGGCTCATGGATCACAGTGTGGTTTTTGTACACCTGGCATTGTTATGTCTATGTACACTTTGCTTAGAAGTAAAACCAACATTACCTTTACGGATATGGAAGTAACATTTCAAGGTAACCTTTGCAGATGCACTGGTTACAGAGCGATTATAGAGGGTTACAAGACGTTTCTTGAAGACTGGGAAACCCAAAGAATTAGCAATGGCTCTAATGGCATAACAAACGAATCAAGCACTGAGGGCGGAGGACAAAACGGAGTATGTAGTATGGGTAAAGATTGCTGTAAATACAAGACTGATACAGAAGAACCAAGTGAAACTGAACATATTTTTAATAGATCTTCATTTTTGCCTTATGATCCAACACAAGAACCTATATTCCCACCAGAATTAAAGCTGTCGTCTCAGTACGATGACCATTACTTGATATACAAGAGTCAGAGGGTTACTTGGCATAGGCCCACTCAATTGAATACGATATTAAAATTGAAAAATAAACATCCTGATGCGAAAATTGTTGTGGGAAACACTGAGGTAGGCGTTGAAGTGAAATTTAAGCACGCTGTATACCCAACAATAATAATGCCAAATTGTGTATCAGAATTGAATGAAATCATTGAAACTGATACAGGTATAACGGTAGGGGCAGCAGTAACGTTAATGGAAATAGAAAACAATTTAAGAAAACATATTGAAAATCTACCTCGTTATAAAACCAGATGTTTCTTAGCTATTGTGAATATGCTTAACTGGTTCGCTGGGAAACAGATTAGAAATGTCGCTGCGCTTGGTGGAAACATAATGACAGGCAGTCCGATATCAGATTTAAATCCAATTTTGATGTCACTTAAAGTGAAATTTAATCTATTAAGTAAAGACGGTGGTCATCGCTCAGTGTTAATGGATGAAACATTTTTCACGGGTTACCGACGAAATATTGTAAAACCCGATGAAATCTTACTATCTGTCGAAATACCGTATACAAACAGGTATCAGTATGTCAAAGCATATAAACAGGCGAAAAGGAGAGAAGACGATATTTCTATAGTAACTGCTGCGATCAACGTGGAGTTTGAAGACAATACTGATACTATAAAGTTCATTAATTTAGCGTTTGGTGGTATGGCTCCTGTTACAAAAATTGCTACAAAAACAGGCGAATCATTGAAAGGGGAAAAATGGAATGAAACGATGTTAGAAAAAGCGTTTTCATTGCTAATTGAAGAACTACCATTAAGTCCTTCTGCGCCCGGTGGTAACATACAATTTCGTAGAACATTAACTATGAGTTTATTTATGAAAGCCTACCTATCCATCTGTAAACAAATATCTGCAGACTATCTTCATAAGGAACTGGTTGTTCCTTACCACAGCAGTGGTGCTGAACAATTTCACGGAGTTATTCCCAAAAGTTCGCAATATTTTGATTTAGTCGGAGACAACCAAGTTAAAAGCGATGCAGTTGGAAGACCTCTTACTCATGTGTCAGCCTATAAGCAGGCAGCTGGTGAAGCAATTTATTGTGACGATATCCCAATTGCCGAAGGTGAACTTTACTTGGCTTTTGTTCTTAGCACAAAATCACATGCGAAGTTAATTTCAGTTAATGCAGAAAAGGCTCTCCAGAATCCAGATGTTCTGGCTTTTTACTCAGCAAAAGATTTAACTCCTGAGCAAAATGCTATTGGACCAATATTTCACGATGAAGAACTATTTATTAGTAAGGAAGTGACTAGTCAAGGACAAACAATTGGTGTGATCGTAGCAAAAGACCAAGCTACCGCACAGGAAGCAGCTAGAATGGTAGAAATTAAATATGAAGAGCTTGAACCAATAATAATCACAATTGAAGACGCTATTAAACATAATTCAATTTATCCTCAATACCCAAAGACTATAAAGAGAGGTGACGTTAATAAGGCTTTTGAAAATAAGGATTACATTATAATTGAAGGACAGAGTAGAATGGGGGGACAAGAGCATTTTTATTTAGAAACTCATGCAGCCTTTGCAATCCCTAAAAAGGAAGATGATGAATTAGAAATATTTTGTTCAAGTCAACATCCTTCAGAAATCGCGGTAAGCGTTTAAATCAAAATAACTAAATTGGTTGAGATAATACTAAATTTTGCTGTCGTTTGTTTCAATGAATGTACGCTGTTGTGTCTACTTTCGTTTCAGAAATTGACAAGTCATATACTGCATGTACCAATGAACAGGATTGTGGCTCGCGTGAAACGCATGGGTGGTGGCTTTGGTGGTAAAGAATCTCGTGGGATGCTTGTAGCATTACCTGTTGCACTTGCGGCTCATAAACTGCAAAAACCAGTACGCTGTATGCTAGATAGAGATGAAGACATGTTGATGACGGGTACACGACATCCATTTTTAATCAAATATAAAGTGGCTTTCACTCGAGAGGGTAAAATAATGGCAGCCAAAGTAGATATATATAACAATGGAGGATATTCTATGGATCTCTCAGGCCCTGTAAGTAATAATTATCTTGTCTTTTATTCTATAATATCCATAGCAAAATCTATATAAAAAAAATGTACATTAAGAACTTGAAACACTTCAATCCTTGGTCCAGTATTATTACAAAATCCCTAGCATACCTCCTAAATAAAGCATTTCAAGACCCCGATGTTTCGTTATGTTTTTGAGGGAGACTATTTATAAAAACGAATGATTCATATATTTTCAGGTGGTGGAACGTGCCATGTTTCACTATGAGAATGCTTATTACATTCCTAATGCTGAGGTCACTGGATACGTTTGTAAAACAAATTTACCCTCAAATACAGCCTTCCGAGGGTTCGGTGGTCCACAAGGAATGTTTGGGGCTGAAAATATTATAGAAGATATTGCATTCAAGTTAGGAAAGAGTGCCGAAGAGATACGAAGAATAAATTTGTACTCAGAACATGCTATCACTCACTACGGACAGTCTTTAGAAAATTGTACTTTACAAAGATGTTGGGATGAATGTGTTCAAAAAAGTAATTTGGCCAAGAGGAGATTGGATATAGAGAAATTCAATAAGTAATGTTTATTTTTAAATGTAGAGATATTTGAACTATAAAATATGATAATGCCATGATCGCGGTTAACGAAGGCGAACATAAATATTTGTAGAAATCTTTACCTACATAATTTTTTATTTGCTTCCAGGGAACATCGATGGAGAAAACGTGGAATCTCAATAATTCCTACAAAATTTGGAATTGCCTTCACGGAAAAACTATTGAATCAAGCCGGAGCCCTAGTACTAATATATGTTGATGGATCGGTTCTGTTGTCTCATGGAGGGACAGAAATGGGTCAAGGTCTTCATACCAAAATGATACAAGTAGCTTCTCGAGCTCTTGGAATAGACGCATCAAAGATTCATATCAGTGAAACTGCTACAGATAAAGTACCAAATACTTCAGCAACGGCTGCTAGCGCCGGCTCCGATCTAAACGGTATGGCGGTTCTTCAAGCTTGTGAGCAATTAAACAAACGGTTGCAACCCTTCAAAGAGAAGAATCCGAATGGGAAATGGGAAGACTGGGTTCTACAAGCTTGGATTGAGAGAGTCAGTTTAGCTGCTTCAGGATTTTATGCAACCCCGGAAATTGGTTACAATTTTAAGGAAAATACAGGGAAGCCATTTAATTACTTTACGTATGCTGCTGCATGTACGGAAGTAGAAATTGATTGCTTAAGTGGTGACCATGTAGTTTTAAGAAGTGACATTGTTATGGATCTAGGCGAAAGTATAAATCCTGCCATAGACATTGGTCAAATTGAAGGAGGTTTTATTCAAGGCTACGGTCTGTTTACAATGGAAGAGCTTGTTTACTCCCCTACGGGCACCTTGTATACAAGAGGGCCAGGTGCTTATAAAATCCCAGGATTTGGGGACATTCCTCAAGAATTTAACGTATCTTTACTTAAAGGGGCTTCTAATCCTAAAGCGGTATATTCCTCTAAGGTCAGTATCACTCAGTTTGAAAATCGTGAAATTTTTAAAACACAATTTTTTAAATAACTTTTTTACATAACAGGCTGTTGGTGAACCGCCGCTATTTCTAGCATCATCGGCATTCTTTGCCATTAAAGAAGCGATAAGTGCGGCGCGCCGTGATGCTAAGGCGTCTTTGGAATTCCGTTTGGATTCACCAGCGACATCAGCGCGTATACGCATGGCTTGTGAGGATAATATAACGAGAAAGGTTGGTTAGGTCTTGTGACCTATGAAAATGTGACTGAGTTTATATACCACACCTCGCAACTTCCTCTGAATCTCTCAAAGGGAAAAAAATTTAAAAATTTTCGGAACATTTTTCATTGCTCCTTTTGGTCGTAGCATGATGTTATATCCTTCCTTGATAAAAGAGTAATCCTACACTAAAAGATTTTTTTAAATCGAACCAACAGTTCCTTAGATTACTCCGAACATACAAACACACAAACTTTACCTATCTCTATGTAATATTAGTATATATATAGAGCTTTTATGAGTTTGAAAACGCTACTACCAAAAATAACGATGTTTCATATGAATTTCCAACCCCCATTTTGAACTATTAGGGGTTCTTCTCTTAGATTTTTTTAAAATTCTTTCTTAGTGCGGTGGCACCTGTGCGTTGTTCGTTCAGACAGTGAATCAGTCTGTGAGTTTCTTCTTTTATACATATAGATTCAAGGGTCGTGCTATCTCGTTGAAAATAAATTAAACCACATCTTTGGAAATTTACTGACCGTTTTTGTTAGTAATGCACGCAGGATTAATAATTTTAGGCACTAGGATTAAGAATTTTATTTTATTGTTATATTGCTGTAAATTATTACATTTTGAATAATTTATGGACCGTCTTGAGCGTCTCGAAAGATAACCTGTTGATTTCTAACGCAACATTGCATAAAACAATCAATGATACATATGTTGTATTTGACGTACACAATGAAAACACAGGTTTGAATATTTTATCGACTAGATGAGTACCTATGAAAGTGTTTTCGATGCTACAATTTTTTACATCTACGACTTCTTTTAGATTATTATAAGTACGTAAATAATATAGTAAGTATATATTTATTCATTTTTCAGCTTGATGAACCAAAGGAAGGTAGCTTTATTCCATGGAACATTGTGCCCTAAGCTACAACCGTCACACGCAGAAAAACATGGTTGTGAAAATGAAGTTGTGTTTTGACTTTAAAAGTGAAACAGGTTGCTCAATTCGTTTATAGCACACAAACACACGTGAAAAATATCAACTGCATGAAAAACTATCTTGTCGAATACTTATATTATGATTGTGTGATTTATTTATCCATATTTAATGAATGTGAAAGTGTGTAATTAATTCTAATTTGTGTTTATGTATGTCTCATACATTTAAGCAATCTGTATACTTGAAATAATTAAATGGTGTTATCTTATGTAAGTTGTGTAAACAACTGTCATCTAAGTTATTTTCGTGACTGACTTCAGTTACGTATTTATTGTTTTTCAAATTAAATGAGTTGCTGATGCAATGTTTATGCTATTATGTGTTTATTGTGCCTTTAGACATTATACTTATTTTGAACATTGAAGATAATCACTTACACATTATATTATACATTTACTATCATCAATGTACCCCCGGTCGGAACTAAGTTCTTTTCGCTTATAAGGTGTCCTGTATAAGATGTCCTGTCTTATCAGGGTCTACCAAAAACGCTGATAAGACAGGACATCTTTATATGCAATATACAGGACACCTTATAATACAATTTACATAGTATAAAATAAAGGGGCTTTTTTTCTTGTAACAATTTTTATCTTTTAAATATCACAAAAAAATAATGTAAAAATAATTCCGAAACTGTTCAGACAATATTGAGTCAAGTCGAAGTAAATTTTAAATTATTGGACAAATGGGTCGTCAGAGTGATTTTGCGAGATATTATTGTTTAGAATATTGCGTCCCGACTTTTTTCTCGGGGACGCTGGGGGGCTGAGAACTAAAATACGGGTCAGTGGCGCTTAAAACGAGGCGTATGGTATCCACATCAGATATCTACTAGATGAAATGAATAAAAAAACTACTAGATGTCTGTGAGATAATGAAACAAAATTTAATCACAGATAATTTTCAAAATAAACGTTTCGCTTCTAACTACCTCTAAAACTAGTTAGTAGATAATAATTTGACATTTATTCAACCAATTGTAGTGAGCCCAATATAGCACAAAACGAGATAACAACATACTATGTTGTTGATTGATTGCTTGTTCACCGCCTACATTGCGGACGGACTGAGACAGGCAGGTCATAGCTCATTTGAGCCACCCGGGACCGGGTACGGGTGAGCAGAGCCTGTGAGCGGTGAGCGGACCTATTTTCAAGGGGGCAGCAAAAACAGAAATCGAAACGAAAACTAATATTGATCTGTGTACGGAAATAAATGTAAACGTTTATAGGCTAGCTCTACTAGCTCTTTCCCGCGGCTCCATCCAGGTATATGTGGTAAAAAGTAGCCTATGTCTTTCCTCAAGACTTAGGTAAGAGACAGACAGAAAGACACACTTTCGCATTTATAGCATGGACTAGTATGAATTAGTATGGCTATATATATGAAATGGATCACTCAGGCAGGCCTGAAGGTGACAGGTGGCGACACGACGCGCTCCGAAGCACCTTTACGGATAGGGAGCGGAAACTGTGGTTACCACACATGAGGGGACCATCTAAAAGCTATAGACGACTCGGGGTCCGTCGGGGTATGAGGGATTTGCTTTCTAGATTACACCCGGTTTTAAGGCCGGCGCTGATTGACGTCGCGGCAAGGCTTCGGCATCCCGAAGGACATTTTGGAATGACGCGTCATGTGCCTAAACATGCCGCGTTACGTCGTGGCATCCCGTAGGAAGCCCAGCCACTCAATAAGGCCAGCGCTGACTCTCGTCGCAACACGGTGCGGCTGAAGAACGCCGTGCTGTACCACGATGTCATTCAGCGCCGGCCCATGTTCAACTAGTTCTGCTTTGCGTGGATCCAGAGTTCGTTGTGTCGTTGTGATTGACCGGGATGTAATAATAATAGCAGTTCTGGCTGAAGATGAAGAGATACAAACAAATACGAACTGATACGTTGAAGAAAATACATTCTTCCGTGGCAGAGCCATGCTCTCCCACGTCAAAATCCTGTGATCTATGTGGCTCGCGGGACGCGGTGGCATGATAATCCATAGAATGAAACCTTATGACACGACATGCTGCAGCTCTGTCCGCGAGTATTACACGCAAGGACGATGAATCGGCGAGTGACGATCCCTGACAAACTATTTATCTATTCGCAGGAAGGATAATTCTTCTCTCTTTTTATTTCTGCGCCATCGTCGTAACATAATAATTTAAAAAATATATGAAAATAAACTAATAAAGAATTCTTGACATTATTTCGTGAGCTTGATTTAAACAATTTATTATTTTAGAACAATTACCAATTGTTAAATTTATTTCTGGAAAAGAATGACTCAGAAAAGTAAAGAATTAAAAAGTACGAATATTTATACGACAACGTAATGACCACTCATTGACCACGTGAAGTTTGCTGTGAACAACGCTGCGTGCACCGATGGACCACCCGACGTTCACTGGCTGACAACGCGGCGTCCACCCGTGGACCACCTGTCGACAACGGGTGGACACCGAGCGTGACGAGGTGGTGCTGGTCGGTTTTCGGGTGGGTCTAATGAGCTATGACCCAGTCAATCGCAAACCGCCGAGGGCAGAACGTTTACGTTCATTTTACGTTTGTTTATTTTATACCTAACAATATTTTGTTGATAGTTTTTACCTTCAGCGAATTAAAGTGAGAAGTGTTATCATTCATTTATTGCTATTTTTCGACACAATAATAAAGCATTTATTGGAATAAGATGGCTTTATTAAACTTAGAAGACGAAAGCAATGGAGGCAACATATTTAAGGAATTAATTTTTTATGTGAATGGAAAGAAGGTACGTTGTATATCGACTTATATACATTTTAAATTTAATCTTCGTTGAGTATTGGATAATATTTATAACATAATCGAGTATACATTAAGGGGCCAGTTATATTCATAATGTTAGTAAGTAATACTTACCTATATAATCGTCCTATTCTTATGTCGTAGTTCTTATAGCTCACGAAAATGTAATTTAATTATTTAATTATTTTGATAATTTGAAATCACACGCCACATCTTTATTCATAAATTAATGTTTTTTTTTAAATAACGCAGGTATATCTAAATATTATCTCATACCTATAAATAATTATTATCTTATAAAATAGAAAGAATATATGTAAACAGGGTTACTGGTTAAGTCGAACTAGATACTTCAGGACAATATTGCTGATAAGGTAGTGGACATTATTGCTGATAGATTTCATTATGAAATACTTTATCCCAAACCTAACCAGAGATATTGGACTTTTCAGATTAAAAAAAATGCCAATAATTATGCCAACTACTAATTTTTATTATAACATATCCTCAATTATTTATTTTTTACAGGTATTACACCGTTGATACATTGTTTTACAATTTTTACATTACACTAAAATTGTAGTTAATTGAACAAACTGGGCCAAAGATGGTTGATAATAGCAAAATGAAATATGTATTTTTAATTTTTTTTTCTTTGTGCAATATTAAAGTAAGCAAAGTAGCTAGGTCGACTTAACTAGTAACCCTGTATTTATATGTGTATATATACTTATTTACTTTAGATATAGTACCTAAATAATACGAATATTTGCTTGACTTGATTCATTTTGTAGATCATTTTCATGTTGCCTATTTGTATGTTTAATATTGTTATTATCGAAAATGAATGCCATTCCCAAATCTCGCATAGGGACTTAATCTACAATGCGCCGGGTATCATAAATAACGCATTTTATATGAGCATATACCTACTAACGTCTCCCTGCTCTATTTTTATTCCTATCTATACAAATAAATAAAATTGAAGTGTCTGTTTGTAATGTCAAAATAATAAGTTTATTACATGCTCACACGATTATTTGCACGATAACTATGCCTAAATTTTTTTTTTTGGGCTGCCTGTCGATCTGTCTGTCGGTTTGCCTGTTTTTTCCGAGTAATCTTCAAAACGGCTGGATCGATTTTGATAATATTCTACTACCAGGTAGCTGTATATATAAGGAGTAACTTAGACTATTTAACTCAGAAAAACCCAAAAAAAGTTAGGTCCGGGAATCGAACCCACTAAGGTAGCGCGAACGAAGTCGCGGCACCCTCTAGTCTATACAAATAAATAAAATTGAAGAGTCTCTTTGTAATGTCAAAATTGTAGGTTTTTTTCACTAAAAACCAGTTTTATTTTGTCTGTCTGTCGTTTAATCTTCTAAACGGCTCGACCGATTTCGATAATATTTTTCTACCAGATAGCTGTCTATATAAGGAATAACTTTTTCCTCTCAGAAAAATCAAATTCCAAACAAACGAAGTCGCGGTACCACCTAGTTTTTCATAAAACCTGCTGTTACAGCGTGTTAGCTTTAGTAAAAATATATTTTTCGTAACTTTATGTGGCTCTTCCTAATAAAAGGTTTCTGAGACGACTGATAACCAATTGGGTTAAATTATTTAATGCTTTTTATATGTGGTACTTACTTATTTGTCGTAGGTTTTTTTATTTTATTTATTGTCTAATATAAAAATCATACATGCATAAAGTTATTCATTATATACCACACAAACTATCAGGAGTTTATCCGTGGTATACCAGACACATCGCGGTTATAATTCAATTACATGTATATATAGTTGAGTAGCAGCTAGACAGTAAGTGGTTTATCAAAACAGTTTTACATTTTTTTTTATTCATCATACTACAGGTTTCGATAGGTACGTTGTTCATTATACGGGGCAGCATATGTTCCCACATCCGCGTCCCATATACATTAGTATGCTTAGGTATTCTATAAATCGACGTAATGACTCCAATCTTATATTTTTCTTCAATTTAGCAAGGTTGTGATATTCCTCACCCAGTACATATACGCTTACTTTATCGAAAACATTTAATATTTGACAGTGCCTAAATAGGCCACATTCGTCTTCTTTAAATTATAGTTTATTTTTTCTAGGTACTA